ATGTTACCATGAAACACACACGGCTACCAACTGCCTATCGAGACCAAATGGCATGTACGAATAGGAACAACAAATTGGCTTTTGATGTACTTACGAAGCGCAGGTGGCGGCTAATGCTAACGCAGCTAGCAGCTAACGTCCACTCACGCTTCAAAACTACGAGAAACGCACACATTCAGATGTTGACATGAAACACACACGACTACCAACTGCCTATCGAGACCAATGTAATGTACGAGGGGGAACATAAAATGGGCTTTCGACGAACCCGGTACTTAGGTAGCGCAGCCGACATGCAATGCTAACACAGCTAGCAGCAAAGGTCCCGTGCTCAGCTGCGAGCCACACTACCCTGTATAGCTCCGGTTGGAATGCAGACGTTAATGTACAGAAAACGGGCTTATCGTATGTTTAGCTCAATATATTTTGTTTGAGAGGTGGCACTTCATTCCTATTCTCATTACACCCAACCAACCTGTTTCCAACTTTCCCTGTGACTCGCAGAACTTCAGGCTACCATTGACCGCACTGAGTGTAATGGCGTCGGAAAATTCTGGCGGGGGGAGAAAATTCTACCCATACTGCCTTGTGCGACGGCAAACTTTCCGTATTTCGCAAAACGGAGCGAATCCGTAGAAAATCCACGGTAAAGGGACCCCTAAATTTACGGATTTTTTAAACAGTGCAGGACAGGAAGCTCACAGCCCACGGTCCTCTTTGCAGAGCGGAGCACCTTGTTTAAAGCTCTCTTTTCTTTATCTGTGATGTTTCCAAACCACACAGACACAGAACCAACAAGTAAACTCTCAATGGTGCAGCCATAAAAGTTAAGCACAATCTTAGAGTTAGTGGTAAATTCTCTAAGTTTACACAGAAAGTAGAGACGCTGACGAGCTTTCTTAACGACTCGGTCAGTGTTTTTAACCCATTTCAGGTTAGACAGAGTTAAACCCAGAAACTTGCTCCTCTACGATCTGCACCTGGGAGTTGTCGATTACGACAGGCAAATGAGAACTATTGCGACTGAAGTCGTAGACCAGTTCACATGTTTTGGATGCGTTCAACTGGAGGTTGTTAGTTTGACTCCACTGAACCACATTTTGTATCTCTGCTCTATAAGAGGATTCATCATTGTCACTGATGAGACCGATGATGGTGGTGTCATCAGCATATTTGATGATCAAGTTTGAGTCAGAGGAGGACACACAATCGTGAGTGTACAAAGTAAAAAGCAAAGGACTCAAAATACATCCCTGAGGAGAACCAGTGCTCACAGAAACAACATCAGAAAAACACTCTCTGAGATCTGTCAGTTAAAAAGCTAAAAATCCATTTACACATGGCAACACTTAAACCGAGAGACATGAGCTTTTCAATCAGTTTACCTGGGACAAGGCAGTTAACCTGGGACAAGGCAGTTAACCTGGGACAAGGCAGTTAACCTGGGACAAGGCAGTTAAAAGCAGAGCTATAATGGATGAAAAGCATTCTGGCCACAGATTTACTAGTGTCCAAGTGACTGTAGACAGAGTTCAGAGCAAAGGAGATGCATCCTCCACACTCCTGTTCTGTCTGTAGCAAACTGGAGCGGGTCAACACTCACAGGGATCTGGCTCTTAATGAAGTCCAGCACAAGCCGCTCAAAAGTTTTCATAAGAACAGACGTGAGGGCCACAGGACGATAGTCATTCAGGCATGTCACAGGAGTTTTCTTAGGAACTGGAATGATGGTGGACTCTTTAAAGCAGTTCGGCACAGTACAGTTCCTTAGCGACAGGTTGAAAATGTCTGTTAGCACAGGGGCAAGTTGCTCAGAGCACAGTTTCAGGACACGAGGAGGGATGCCGTCCGGGCCTGGGGCTTTCCGGACTGTGGTCCTGGACAAGACACGCCTGACTTCCTCCTGAGTCACGGTGAAGGTACCTTGATTGAAACACTCAGGGAATACAGTAGGACAGGCATCAGCGGATTCAAAGCGACAGTAGAACGTGTTCAGCTCGTTTGGCAGAGCTTGGTCGACAGATGCAGTTTTCCCAGCACTAGGTTTCCACGATGTGATGGCTTTAATACCGTTCCACATGCGCCGAGGGTCATCTTCCTCAAAATAACTCTTTAACCTGTCCCCGTAACTGCGCTTTGCAGATTTAATAGAACGTTTCAATGAGTAACAGGATAGCTTATAAGCAACTGTATCATTTGATTGAAACGCCAGAGCACGCTCATGAAGTTTCAGTTTCACTTCCGCGTTCATCCAAGGGTTTTGACTAAAATGTTCTTTAATGACCTTCTGTGGGACACAGCAGTCAATACAGAAGCGTATGTATCCAGACACAGCGTCACAGAATTCATTAACATCCTCTGACTGAAACACAGACCAGTCAGTGGCATCAAAACACCCTTGTAGCTTCATGCTAGCCTCCTCAGACCAACACTGCACAGTGCGAGAGGTTGGTTTATGTTCCCTGCTCCTCTGAGTGTACGAGGGAAGAAGGAGAACAGAGGAGTGGTCAGACTTTCCAAAAGGAGGTCTGAGACTGGACCTGTAAGCTCCCTTCACGTTACTGTAGCAGTGATCCAGAACATGTGCTCCTCTTGTAGCTCGAGTCACATGTTGGTAAAAGTTCGGGAGTACAGTCTTTAAATGACATTTGTTAAAATCCCCAGCAACAATAATCACTGCATTAGGATGAGCAGTCTCGTATTTATGAAGGATCTCGCTCAGATCCTGTAGTGCTACAGTATAGTCCGCTCGTGGGTGGATGTAAACAGCGCATAAAAATATCACAGAAAACTCCCGCGGAAGATAAAAAGGGCGACAGCTCAAGACCAGGCATTCCAGATTGGCAGTACATGTTTGGTTCACGACTCGAGTATCCGTGCACCAGCGCTGATTAATTAAAAAGCACACACCTCCGCCTCTGGCCTTAGCCGTGGTCTCCTTCACTCTGTCCGAGCGGTGAGCGGTGAATCCCGGGGGCTGAACAGCAGAGTCCGGGACGTTCGAGTGGAGCCACGTCTCACTGAGACAGAACACAGCGCAGTCTCGGGCCTCGCGCTGGCTCTGGATACGACACAGGAGCTCGTCCGTCTTGTTGGGCAGAGACTGGACGTTGGCCAGGTAGATGGAGGGCAGAGCGGTCCTGCAGGAGCGGCATCTCACGAGCAGACCGCCTCGTTTTCCCCGGTGTCTGCGCCTCCTACGTCGGCTCCCGGTACCCAGCTCCACACCGCGGAGAGCGCGGTGGAGACGCCCAGTCCCCCCGCTCTGTTCGCGGCCATTGCCGCGGCCCGCCTGCCGTGTTTGACGGGCCTCACGAGTGGGGCACTCAATAAAGTCCAAGCACCTCAGTTCGGGTAAGACCTGCGATACTCCGCAAGCTCGGTCCCGAATGTAGAGAAGTGTCTCTCGGTCGTACTTCACGGTGGCAAGTGTATCACAGACGAATATAAACAACATAGAACAGACAGTGCACACCAGAGCTCTTACTGAGGCGCCCTGACCCGGCGCCATCTTGCTCTCACTCAGGTCAAACCAAATTTAGAAAGCAATTCCATCGAGTGTGTGGCACCAGAGCATCCCATGGCACAACAGGGGTGCCAAAAATGAGGAACGCTTCACGAATTTGCGTGTCATCCTTGCGCAGGGGCCATGCTAATCTTCTCTGTATCGTTCCAATTTTAGTAGGTGTGTTAGCGAACTAACACAGAGGCATAAAGTTACCGCCATCCTTTCCACTGGTCCTTTGGGCATGGCTCCCCTTCCTCATGGTGTGTGACCAGAGAGGACCATGGCGAGGCGCTTCCTCGTCAACAAGTCCGTTGCCCAAAGTGCGGCCGGGCACTAGCCCTTCTTACTCTCAAGGTTTCGACGAGGTGGCCGAGTGGTTAAGGCGATGGACTGCTAATCCATTGTGCTCTGCACACGTGGGTTCGAATCCCATCCCCGTCGCAAAAGCCTTCCGCTCTTGAATTTTTTGGTTCCTCCAACCATTTTTTTTTTTTTTTTAAACCATAAAAGTGAGTTGGTAAGGCATTGGTGGTCCAATGGTAGGATTCTAGCCTGCCACGCGGGAGGTCCGGGTTCGATTCCCGGCCAATGCAAGCACTCTCTGAGATACATAAAGCATCGGTCTCAAGGCCCCTGGACAACACCTCTCCCGTCTTGCAAAAGACAAAATAACCTCTAAAGACCCTTTTTTCCGGTTGGATGCATGGAACAACATTTCCGAGAAAAAGATGTTGAGGAAATTGTAATTTGGAAAAAAAACTTCTTTTTTTTTTTTTTTCTCCGCAAATTAGGCATACTGGTAGTCCGCTCTCATCAGAGGTAAACGCAAATGAATCTGCCCAGGCATCATTGAATGTTCTATTTTCTTCAGATATTTTTCTTTTCTTACATTTCGCCATACTTGGCCTTGCTGGGGTTGAAAGTTGCGACAGGTGGACGGCGTTTTGGCGGGTATACCGGCTTTCGCGAGTATGACGTTTCTTTTGAGCGACAAAAAAACAATAAAATATATTTATTCTAATATGTCAAGATCACAATAATCTTCCTATTTAGAACTAAAACATTAAAGAACTAACACAAATAAAATACCCTTCAATTAAACACGTGTTTTTTTGTTTTTTTTCCCAAGCCACTCAGAGCCGCAGTATAAGGATGAAAGAGCCGCATGCGGCTCCGGAGCCGCGGGTTGCCGACCCCTGGTCTAGCCGTTAGGATTCCTGGTTTTTATTTTTTATTTTTTTATTTTTTTTATTATCAAAACATAATTAAAATTCAGTACAGAGATTCAAAAAGTATTTACACATAATATTTACAGACACACACAAGAGGATGGGTGGGTAAGTGGGAAGGGTCTGGATGGGAAGGGGAGTGGACACATTATGGAATTAACAGACAAATGTGACATCCGACCATAACATGCAATACTGACAGTCCAATGGGGGGAGGGGTTCCCAGGGCTAGGGGATGTGCCAGGGATCCATGGTGAGCGTTGTCAGAGGTTCAGTGTCAGTCCAGATGGTGTGAGTTGGATCAGGGTGTTGTGGGGGACAAGAGTGCTGGTGAACCGTTGCTCCAATGCAGAGTGCAGGTGACGGAGGTGTGCGGTCAACAGTCCCGTGAATGTGGGCCAGTGAAGTGCTGTTCGGCGGTCGTGAAGATAGATGTTCCGGACGATGAAGACTGTGTAGCGGGCCATTGCAGTAATGAGTCGAACCAGGTCGATGTTGTTGGTGGCTCCAGAGCGACCTCCGATGGGCCCAAAGTGGAGGAGCCAGGACTCCTTGTCTCCCCCTCCTAGGGCAGCCGGCGTGGGGAGTCTCCATGCCAGCCTCCGTGCGAGCAGATCCTGGACCCGGGTCCAGAAGGGGCGGACGGCTGGGCACAAGACCAGCAGGTGCTCCAAGGTCTCGGGGGGGCCCTGACACAGGGGGCAGTCCCTGCCATATCTGTCAGGAAGGAATGCGTGCAGTCTAGGGGAAGTAAATATTATTCTGTGTCTAAATTTGAAGTCAAAATTACTTACTCTATGCGGAGTGTACCAATTATATATGTGAGCCCAGATGGATGCAATGGTGCGTGTGGGGAATGTTTGTGACCATATGTGTTCTGCAGTGGGGCTCCTGAATACACCAGACAACAACAACAGGTACAAAGCTCGGGTGTGCAGGTCTGTGAACGGCCTAAACCTCCCCATGCCCAAAGCAACATTAAAATCCAACTTACCTGTAGTGATCCCCGTGCGCCCCAAGAGACCACCCCAATGCCTGACTAGATTCCTGCTAAAATTACTTACCTGTGCCTCTATATACTTTTTCCTAAAGCCCTTGCCCTTCTGTCTAAACACCTTCCCCATGTGATCTATGCTAAACTTTCCCTGTGAATCAAACACCTCACCTATATTTACAAATCCATTCTCCTCCATCGCCCCACTGACCATGCACTCTCGCTTCCCAGGAGGAGCCGAGAGCATGTCAGGGTTGTGACGGAGTGGCATGAGCATGAGAGCCTCAAGAGAGTCTGGTACCGCCACCGTCAGAGGCCTGAACGCTCTCCATGCCTCCAAGAGTTCCCTCTCAAAAGGCCGAAGAGCATCCAGGACAGAGACAGGGGGAATCAAACATAAATTGTAGATCCCAAAAGTCCCTATCTGACTAATGCTCTGACCTACATAACTCTTCCATGGAGCATCTACTTCAACATCTAAACATTTCCTCAATATTTTTAGCCGAAAAGCTTTTCTTTTCAACCCCAAATCTACTAATTTCAGCCCTCCCTGTTCATATTCTCCAATGAGCACAGCATGCGCAATCAAACCCGGGTCACGCCCCCACACAAAGTGGTTCACTGCCGCTCTAAAACTGGACACATAGACCCCTGGCAGGTCATACACGGCAAGAGCATGATTTAAAATAGACATGCATAATGCATTAACAACCAAGATTTTCCCTTTTATTGTTAAGCTACGGAACTTCCATAATTGTAGCCTTTTTGTGAATTTAGAGAGCAATGAGGACCATAACATATCACAACACGCCACCTCATCTCCTCCCAGCGGGACACCGAGCATCGTATACATGTCCCCAGCGTCCTGAAGCTGGACAGGGAGGGGGGCAGGTATGACGCCGCCGCAATACTTTATTTTGGACTTATTAAAATTAATTTTTGCCCCCGATGCAAGGCAAAAGATGTTCAGCTGGAGGAGAGAGGCCTTCACACTCTCCACGTCTCTAAGGACCAGATTGGTGTCATCAGCATACTGAAACACTTTGATTTCCTGCCCTGAAGGCGTGACTATTCCCCTCACCGCAGAGTCTCTGCGCAGCATCGCCGCCAGAGGCTCTGCAGCAATGCTGTAGAGGAGTGACGAGAGGGGACAGCCCTGCCTTACTGATCTTTCGAGAGGGAAAGAATCAGTGAGCAATCCATTTACTTTTACTTTGCTTGTTGCAAAACTGTAAATGAGACGCAGCCAATTGATGAACTGCGGACCAAAGCCTAACTTACCTAATACAGACCAGAGGAATGAATGTTCGACTCTGTCAAAAGCTTTATTAAAATCTACACTAATATGAATGCCACCTGTTTGGTGCATTTGCCTGAGGAGATACCGCATGGACAATATAGTATCCGCAATATCTCTTCCTGGCACGCTGTACGCCTGCGAGGGGTGTATGACTGACCCAATGACTTTCTTGAGCCTGCCTGCCAACACCTTTGCCAAAATTTTGTAGTCCACATTCAATAGGCTAATTGGCCTATAGTTAACGAGGCTACTCCTTTCTCCACTCTTAAACAGTAGAGTGACGACACTCATGGCAAAACTCTCACTTACTCTATACTCACTTTCAAAAGCAGTAAACAAATGAAGAAGGAACGGGTTTAGCCGAGAAGCAAAGCGCTTAAAAAATTCAGTGGTTAACCCGTCCTCTCCAGGGCTTTTCCCGGTGTTAAGACCTTTGACAGCCTCCTCTATTTCAGAAAGAGATAATGGAGCATCGCACAACTCTCTGTCCTCCTCACTTATTGTAGGCTCTAATGCACCTAACGCCTGATCTAACGCCCTCTCTCCAACACCATCTGAGCTAAATAAGTAAAGTAAGTAAAATTCCTGCGCTACCCCTAACACTTCACTAACCTCAGATACAATCTTGCCCGTCCTACTAGCTTAATCTCATTCTCTAGTAATGTCACAAAGTCAGGATCTGCAGATCTTATTCAGGCGCCATCTTGGTGAGTCTACTTGTATTCCTGCATCACGGTAAACAGTAGACACCGGCGCGTGGTCTGACATCGTGATGGAATTGTAGAAGGTTCCTTTTATTTTACCTTTTAAGATCGCGGAAATCAGAAAAAAGTCTATACGGGAGTAGTATTGATATTTCCCAGAGAAACAAGAGAACTGTGTCCATCTGGGTTGTTTTCACGCCAAATATCGATGAGGTCCCGTCCTTACCTGGATCAAGAGTGACATTAAAATCACCCCCAATAATATCGTTTCCTTTAAGGGTCGATAAGGTAAGAAACACATTTTGGAAGAAAAAAGTGAATCATCGTTGTTTGGTGCATAAATATTAACCACTACCACTTGCTCTTTCATCAGGTTTATTTGGACTATGGTCCTGCAGGGTCTCTGATAACTTGTGCATCAGAGTTATGACCGCTCTGGGCTGTGGTGTCGAGGGTGTCCACAGCACATTACCTTTCCACCTTCTGCTGATTTCAGTTATATCCTGAGCAGCCAAGTGAGTTTCTTGCAGGAAAACAATATTTGATTGGATAGTTTTAATTAAATGCATTACTTGTTGAATCTTTCCGGGTTTTTGAAGCCCTCTACAATTCCATGAGGAGAGTTTTATATCAAAACCTCTAGACATAGTTAAGTGTCAAACATAGTATGAGCCAGAGACATAAGAGAAAAAAATAATAACATTAGTAATAATAATAATACAACAACAAAAAAGAAGAAAAAAAACAACAAACAAAAAAGGGATAACCACACACACACACACACACACACACCCAAACCGGCCTACCCCCAGCCACCCCTAGCTTCTCAGCTACCCCCCCTATCCTGTATCTAACCCCGATATGAAGGATATAGCACCCCTTTATGAGGGGCAGCCTTGCTATGCCAATTGTTCTTTCCATGAGATCTGACATAACCTCACTCTTATTGTAAAGACCTAAACTCTGGGAGCTACATGACACTGGTTCGGAGGAATTTAGTGCCAACGGGCCAGGTGGATTATGGCAGAAAGGAGGACATTTTTTGTGTACATGGTGACAGACATTCTTACCCAACAGCGGAACTCTTACCTGTGGTAGCTATTTTGGGTTGGGACCTGCCTGTGCTATTGGACATACTGCGGGAAGAGGGACCCAAGGACAGTGACTGTGGAAGGGGGTTTTCAGGACTTGTGATGACTCGTTCTCAGGCTAAAGCAGGGTTGAAGCCAGTTCCAGGGCAGAGAGTACCAGAGTCTGAACCCGAGCCATTTTCCACATTGGACTCCAGTTTATTTGAAGGCGCAACAAAGGTGCCAAGAAAATCTCGCAAGCAGCGGCACTTCGAGAAAGGGCTAAAGCAGGCAGAGCCAAACTGCAAGGACTTTATGTGGGAAGTTCCTGCGGACATTGGGCCGGTACAAAGAGAGGATGTAATGTTAAAATCACTCTTTGCAAAAGTGATTGGGGGACTAGATATGATGGCAAAGGGGGACAAGGATGCAAAATGCTATTTTGTATGCAGTGGCAGACGGTGTCAAGCGCCTCGTGGTTCCTGTGTCCTGCCGGCCAATGATCATGCACCTGGCACACACATTGCCTTGGGCTGGTCATCTGGGCTGCAACAAAACCCATCTGCGCATAGCATCGAGGTTTTATTGGCCGACCATATACACAGATGTCCAAACCTACTGTAAATGCTGTCCTGTCTGCCAGAAAACTAGTTTTGTTCGTCAATCTGACCGTGCGTACCTCAAACCTATGCCTGTCATTTCCACCCCATTCTGCCGCATGGTAATGGACATTGTAGGGCCCTTAGTTCAGAGCAGTGGAGGCCATCAGTACATCCTGTTCCTCTGCAATTATGCCACACGGTTCCCCGAGGCTTTCCCCTTGCGCACCGTTACTGCCCCTGCGGTGTCTTGTGCAGTTGTTTTCCAGGGTTGGTGTCCCAGACGAGATCATGACAGACCAGGGGACCAACTTTACCTCCCGACTGATGCAGCTCTTCCACCACCAGCTGGGGATCTCTGCAATCAAGACCACCCCGTACCACACGCAGACGGACGGTTTGGTCGAGCGGTTCAACCAGACGCTGAAGAGGATGCTGCAGAAGTTCATGGCCGACACCAGACGGGACTGGGAACAGTGGCTACCCTACCTGCTGTTTGCTTACCGAGAGGCACCCCAAGCATCCACCGGTTTCTCCCTGTTCTTTGGATGGGATGTCCAGGGTCCACTAGACCTGCTACTGAAGGCCTGGGAGGCTCCTGCCTCCCAGGCCTTCAGAGGCAGAGGTCAACCCACGCGCTGCCCAGCGGTCCCAGAAGGCGTGGTACAACCAACAGGCCCGACATCGAGAGCTCCAGCCCAGTCAGAAGGTCCTGCTACTCCTGCTGTCGTCCAACCACAAGTTGTCCAGGGGCCTCGAGACCAACGTTCTATGTATATCAAAGAGGGCTTGCATTAGCCGGGAATCGAACCCGGACCTCCCGCATGGCAGGCGAGAATCCTACCATTGGACCACCGATGCCCTAACAACTCACTTTTAGGGTTAAGAAAAAAAAAATGGCTGGAGGAACCAAAAAAATTTAAGAGAGAAAGACTTTTGCGACGGGGATGGGATTCGAACCCACGTGTGCAGAGCACAATGGATTAGCAGTCCATCGCCTTAACCACTCGGCCACCTCGTTGAAACCTTGAGAGTAAGAAGGGCTAGTGCCCGGCCGCACTTTGGGCAACGGACTTGTTGACGAGGAAGCGCCTCGCCATGGTCCTCTCTGGTCACACACCATGAGGAAGGGGAGCCATGCCCAAAGGACCAGTGGAAAGGATGGCGGTAACTTTATGCCTCTGTGTTAGTTCGCTAACACACCTACTAAAATTGGAACGATACAGAGAAGATTAGCATGGCCCCTGCGCAAGGATGACACGCAAATTCGTGAAGCGTTCCTCATTTTTGGCACCCCTGTTGTGCCATGGGATGCTCTGGTGCCACACACTCGATGGAATTGCTTTCTAAATTTGGTTTGACCTGTGCTGAAATGGTATTCTCCGTCTGCTGCGGCTTTATTTCCACGCAAAAAACCACTACGTGAAACTCGGCGCGCTCGTCTGTTGAGCAAGAGGTTAGTGATTCGAGCACAGCAAGGGACGCTCTGTCATATGTAGCAACCTTGTGTTGGATGCAATGAATGGACTTTTGTGTTGAAACCTTGTTCCCATACCGGGAGTTGAACCCGGGCCGCCTGGGTGAGAACCAGGAATCCTAACCGCTAGACCATATGGGATTCACCAGGTAAAAAAACACAAGAGATTGTGCTCCGCACTAGACTTGTGACCCAACACTGCAGCGGCAAGTGATTGTAATTGCTCAGCCTCAAGTATTCAATATGAGAGCAAAACATTCCCTTTGAAAGTGCTACCAGAGGAATTGTTTTAATGACACAACTGGCGATTGCAGGCAAAAAAAAAAAAAAAAAAGAACAAAAATTTCTCTCGGAAATGTTGTTCCATGCATCCAACCGGAAAAAATGGTCTTTAGAGGTTATTTTGTCTTTTGCAAGACGGGAGAGGTGTTGTCCAGGGGCCTTGAGACCGATGCTTTATGTATCTCAGAGAGGGCTTGCATTGGCCGGGAATCGAACCCGGACCTCCCACGTGGCAGATTCAACAAAACAGAGAAGACAGGGAACAGGAGATGTCAGAATTATCAACTGTAATCTTTTCTGCTGTTTCCGAGTGCCTAGTGCCCGTCTCAACCAGTGGGAAAGACGTCTGGGAGACCTCTGTAGATCGTTCCCCACCACAGCTCCAACAGCCTGCGGCGCTGCCAATGCCCCATCTTCCACCTCTTCCTCTGGTCTTCTTCAGACCAGGGATGCAGACCTGAGAGCAGTTTGCACCCAGAAGACAAAAAGAGGCAAAAAGGGAGGGCGAGGCAATGGCAGCCAAATACATGGGTGCTTTGACTGTGGTGCCCTCAATCAATGCCCACACCGTCGCGGGTCAGGACACTGTGGTTGGGAACAGGAGTTGTCATAAACCCTCTGACTGCCACGGGACAGGATACAGGAGATAAGTACAAACACTCTGACGCAA